GATGTTTTCAAATCTGCAATTAGACTTTTTCTATCACTTCTAAGTTTTAATATTATTAAAAATTAGTATTTACATATAAAAAATTCACATCGAAGCTAAAAAATTGGCTATTTAAGCTAACTCAAATTTAAAAATTACTTTTTCGACTTTAAAAAAGTAAAAAAAATTTAATAAGTTTAATTTCTTATGTCTTATGAACTTTATTCTATGTCAATTAAATTATATAATATTCATGAAAGTCAATTTATTTCCTAATAAGATATTTTAAAATATAAAACCTAGAATTTTAATAGAAAAATAGCATATTTTTGAATACGGTAGCCATTTGCGCATAGAAGATAGGTCGTCAGGACAAATTTTTTTTCTNCATAGAAGATAGGTCGTCAGGGCAAATTTTTTTTTTCATTTTATAGTACATAAAATAAGCTTTAATTTGATATAAGTTTAAAGGACGCAGTATTTCCGGAACATTTTCAAAAATTAAGTTGAAAAAGTTAGTTTTTGTAAAAAAGTTGCTATTTTAAATNCAAAAAGTTAGTTTTTGTAAATAAGTTGCTATTTTAAATCCCCCCCAATGAGCAGGTTAAGTGTTAGATTTTCAAAAAAATGATATCAAATGAAAGGGAAATGTCTAAGGTTTTAGTATAAAAAAAAATTATGTTGATTTGTTTATTTTTGAAAAAGTTATGGAAGTTTTAAGAAAAAAAAGTGAAAAAAATGAAAAAATTTACCGATTTTTAAATTTGTAATTTTTTTGGATATTTCCCCCCTTTGCGGGGAACGAGGGAAATTTTATTTCTATTAAATTTGACTCTTCGACTCAACTTAATAGGCCCGAGGACACGGGTTAACCTTAACGGATTGGTCCCAAATTTTGCACAGCTCATTTTTTTGACCATTAAAAAGAAATTAAGGGGTAGCGTAAAAAAAAAAAGACATTCGATTTTTGAGGGCCACCCTAATGTAGACTAAAGCTCCAATAATTATTTAAAAAAAGAAAGTAACGTAAAATATTGACTAGATCAATAGTTATTAGATTTGTCATATCTCTGTGACTTACCCGTGTATAATCATAATGTTTAGTTTATGTATTTATTTAACTTACAAATGAGTTTAAATTTCTCCAGAAAAGATATTTTAGGTTTAAAAATACTCAAAGGTAAATTTATAAGAAAAACGTGATTTTCAGGGGTATACATAAGTCTTGATAGAGGAAAATGGGCGGTAATGGACTTTTATTATAGTCATTTAATGTATACGTTTATTATAAAATAAAACGTTTGACCTTGGAATTTTTTTCTATATAATAATTATATAACCATCGCCAAATTTTCAAATAATGACGATAAAATCTTTTTTAATAATTTGAATATTATTTTGAATGAATAAATATTATTTTATTTGAGTGAAAACAATTTGAATGTTGCTAAGTTTTGACGTTTAAACGTCAACGATTTAAAAAAATTGTACATTAATATATTTATTATTTATATAAATAAATAAAATATTGTAATTTTTTATTGTCTTTTTACTATTATTTTGTTTTTATTGAATTATTTAGTCTTCATATTGCAAAATATAGCAATTTTTTGTTATAAAAGTTTAAAGTTTTAAAAATTAAAAATTAAAGAAGCTTAACATTTCATATAGACGTTTTGTTAGAAAGGCATAACAAAAAAGATAACATTGAAAACTAGATTGCACTCATTATTAAACAATTTAGGTGTTTTTCAAAGGTACCTTTGAATTTTTCCTATCCCGCCTTTATATGTCGTCATAGCTTTAGAACCAGTCGAACAAAAAAATTTTTTTTTTAATTTTTTTATTATAGTTTAGTCTAAAGAAACGTAAAAAAATATTTAAGATCATTAAAAGACCTAAAATCAAAAATTAAAAAAAAAAATTGTTTATTTTAAATGGAATGACTCATATTTTAATGAGTATAGGACAATTATTTAAATTATGTCCACTAAATTTATCTTTAAAAAAATTAATTTTTTGAAAATCATTTTTTTTGGACTTTGTTGATTACATGGGTATTTTCATTTACCGCTTATAAAATAATTTTCGATTCATCCCTTATAATATAATATAATATAGGGGAGTCAACATAAATGTTTGGTAAAATATGTATTAGTTTATACAATAGAAAATAATCTAATCAAGAAAACGACTGGAAAATAACTTTTTAACCTATAAGATATAAAGAATGGACCAAAAATAATTGTATAACACATGAATAGATATATTCACATATGACTAATGATACCAAAAAAATAAGATATTCAAAAAACATTTTTTTAAAGACAAATCTAGTAGCTAACGTTAAAAAAAATTACCTTGTACAATAACTAAGTATAATATTTTACAAAACCATATAATTTGCGATAAAGATATTTTTTTTAACTTCAAATACTTACTACATTATTTAGATCTTAGAATATTATGAGAACATAAATTTTCATAATTATATGATATATATTATAAACTTAGAACATTTTGCAAAAACGTGAACAATGAAAAAATGTTAGTTAATACTAACTTGGTACCAATAAGAATCACTTCCATTTTTTTTATCTACTTCTGACATAACCCATTCTTTATTTTTTTGAATATACTCATTCAAACGTTTACACGTATCATTTCTATCATCACAATAATTTTTAAGCGTATTAATCCAGTACAAATGTATCAAATTTGCAGTTACCCAACCTTCTAATAACCCAGCTGCATAAGCCTGGGCTTCACTATCAGCAGTTTTTGAAGTTTGTATTTCCAAATAATCCCATCTATAAGTATTTATTAGTTTAAAATTTGTTAATATAAACAAAAAAAAAACAATAAACTTACCCGGTGGTATTTAAACTGTGTGAATAATTAACCTTACCGATTACATTACCTTGAGGAAAAGATTGTATTGATATATATCCATTGATATCAGAAATAGCATAATAAATTTGGTTTAGTCCATAAGAACTCCATGATAAATTTATTACAAAATAAATAATAAGTATAGTTAATTTAATGAGCATGATGATTGACTAGTATATTAAAGAAGACTGAACATGCTGACCTTCTGATTTCATTTTATGGTTTTTAGATAACTATAAGTCTTTTAAGTAGATGACCTTCTAGAGCATTTGTAGTAGAATTCTTACACAGTTTATTATTTGTAATTATATAACGAATAATCTTATAAAATGAAAAAAATATAAACAATTTGATAAAAAAATTAAACTTTGTATATTGATAATGAAATAGATTAGTAAACTATCAAAATACATCATAATATCTTCTAAAAAGACAATAATTTACAATATATTACAAACATGTATTATGATATACTAAAGGTTAATTAGTGGTTCTTCATTGGTTAAATTCTGTTTATTAAGACCAAATCGCCATTCATTTCGGTCACGAAGAATTGATCTACCCAACTGGTTATGTAGCTCCTTAAAAGTAATAATACGGTGGGAAACAATATCTTTACGTTGAGGAGACTGGGAAATGGGTTTATTAAATGGATTATGACGACCTCTAGGAGGAGGATGTGGTGATGTACGTTCACAAGACTCATTTGATTGTGTTATTTGATCTTTTGGTAACTGGAGTGATTCATGATTAGAGGTATCTAAAACATAGTTATACAATGTATTCAAAATGCATTGTAATATAAAAAAAGTTTAAACGGTAATCAATTACGTTCAAGTTCTTTGAGTTGTCTTTGTAAATCAGCAACCATTAACTTCATGTAATCATAACTGGCACATGCTAATGCTTTCATCCACTGTTCCATACATTCTTGACTATCTGCTCCTAATATATAGCTTCTGTTATTAGGACCATGAAAAACAATTTTGAAACTAAATTGGTCATCATTTTCTGCTAGTTCTATAATAAATATTTTGCAGTTGATAATTAAAAGGGGTCATATTAATAACAATCATAAAACTTACCTATTGTACATCCTTCAAGTATGATAACACCAACGGGTTCTTTGTCAACTTTACGGTCAAAGTAAAACAATAGATTTCCTTTTAAAACAAACCATCGTTTTTGATATCCCTTATTTAATTCTCCACGCTTACATAGCCATCCTTCTTTATCAATTGGGCTAGACGATGTTGAATAAGCACATAAGTTTTTTTCATTTATTTTCATTTTTGAAAAAAAAATACAAAAAAACTATAGAATAGATTAACTAAAAATAATAATAAAACACTAATTTTTAAACAATGTCACTAGTAATAATATTTAAGTATAAAGTGTATTATTTCAAAAATAAATCGACCAACTACACACAAGTCATTTTAAGTTTTGAAAAAAAAAATTGTAAATAAACACTTATTAGATTACAACCTCAAATGTTATCACTAACATAAGACATTGTTATCAATGTTTAAGACGTCGTTTGTGATAAAAAAAAAACAGACATAGTGAGTATAGTATACACTAAGTTGGGAAAACATCTTTGCATTAAGTTTAACTTACGACACACAAACGTTATTATTATCTACTATTTAACTCTCGGCATTATTTAACTAGAGTGATTAGTGATATAATAAATTATAATTTCAAACTTACTATAAATGACGTCGTGATAGAACTCATCTTGAAAATTAATAAAATTTATAAATATGATATGTTTAAAATTATAAAATTAATCATACGTTATTTGTTCTCAATTATAATGCAATTACTCTAAAGCAATTGCATAAACTTGAGTAATAAAAAAAATGTTCAAACAACTTCAAAAATGTATAATTTTTAATTTGTCTTCGTAAGGTTCTTGCATACCCTAATCATTGTGTGTTAACAAAAAATAAATTTATCAAGAAAAAGATGTATATAACTATACTTTTATATGGCATTAACATTTCCTCTAAATTTTCTTTGGTGACCATAGTTTTAATGATTTGAGTAAAAAAAATCATGACAAAGAATTGAGCGTATCACTTCTTTGTGGTAATAAATTAATACTAATCATGTAGCAGAAATTTATTAACTAGTACAGTGTGACAATTAACTTAAAACTTAGTGTATTTTACAGAGAACCATTTGTCAGTAATGTTTAGTGCGTTTCACCATGTTGAACAAAATGCATCTAACGTTTAAAATCACAGTCACACAAATTGCACTCGATGTCCCTCGTATCAGTGTAGACCTCTTCATCGCCGTACATGAAAACATTTTGAACAAAAAGTACACAATATGTGCTTTGATGCCTCCCCTCTGAATGAGTTGCCGCGCAAATCACATACGAACCAACCGCTTCTCATCCGTATGAATCGTTTCGTGTGATCTCAGTATGTTACTATCTTCAAACAGGTGATCACAGACCGACAGGCGTGTCGTATGATACCCACGTGAACCACCACAATTGCATGTCGCCGTCTAATAGGAACAGGCGATCACAATGACTTCAACTGAGCGTTGTTCGTATGCACAACACTACGTGTTCTCGAAATCACACTTAAGCTTAACGTGACATTTTGCGTGGTGTTCGCATTGATTACGTTTCAAGCAGATCCATTCGTCACCATGATCCCGATATTGATCTAAGCGTTTTCGTCGTCGACCACTAGTAATATATTTCCGAATTGGTGAAGTACAACCGTTACCCACAAAATATTCTTCGAGATGTTCTTTAAAACGGAATGCACTGCGCACCAAACACAAAAGCGCCTGTCGATGAATTTTAAATAGTGTTACATCGCTCATGATTTTTCGTCGATTGAATTGAACGTCTTCTTGCAAATTGTGTTGGTGACTTTCTTTAGTGTTATTGACATTAGTCGTGTAAACTTTTTCCGCGAAGATCTGTTTCGCGTCTGTAAGTCCTAAAAAACGTGCGCTAACAAATAGTACATGCTGCTTGTCGCGTTTGAAAGACATACCCGTGACATTTTTGTCTGGACGTTTCAAATTCTCTCAGATCTCCCGTTCGACGTGCACGACAGTCTTCTTGTGTCTCTGTTCGCTTCGCGCCCGTTGTAAATATCTTAAAACGCATGTCCGTTCTTTCATCCGAAACGTCAGCCGATTTTCTTGTCCAGCTCACAGGGATTCAATGACATGTTTCCTGAAGAAGTAACGCTGGTACATGTTAGTTGGTTAGCACGACTTTGGTATTCTAACAAGTTTGCCTGTCGTAAAAAACCTCTCCACTCGAAAATGGAAGGAATTTTTACATTGCCGTCCGATTCATCATTTATTTGTCGTTTTTTTGAAAATCCTGCAATATGAATTTAATATTTTTAGTCGGTCTCTAATGTCATATATGATATTAAGTAGTCGTAATGCATTTCAGCTGTCATAAACGCACAGTATTTCTCACGTTTGACACTAATATTTTATTTTGAAATCTTTGGCAGGTTGATTTAAGAAACAGAAATTGTGGAGGGGTAAATTTTAGATAAACATTTAATAAACTAGATAATTTTAGCTCAACCTAATTTATTTGTATATACTGCGTTGTTGATTTTTAATATAAAAAAACCAGCACAGGGGGGTCGCGGCACAGTGGTGACGTGGCATAGTTGGATCAAGTATAATGATATCTGACAGTGATTAAAATCACCATAAAAAAAAACGCTTCGATGCAAATCTTTAGATAGTGTTTAATTTTAAAAAATTGGTGTATTGTTCCAAAAGCTACACGATCTGCTAGTTCCTTATTAATATTTTGATTAAGATAAAGTATGTCGAATAAAAAAGGATTTTTAAAAAATATTATTTCTCATAAAAAAATTGTGTTGATCCATACACTTTTCAATAAGTTATAGCATTATAAAGTTAAATATAATATAAAAAATAAAATCGAGAATTTTCACACGAAAATAGCATTCGATAGCCATTTTCGCCGTGAAGACAAGTCCAGAGGTCAAATTTTTTTTTTTTTAATTAAAGTATATTACATTAGCTTTAATTTAAGATATATATAAAAGTGTCAGACCTTCCGGAATATTTTCAAAAGTTAAGTTGAAAAAGTTAATTTTTTGTAAAAAAGTTGTCATTTAAAATCCCCCCCTGTGGGCAGATAAAGGGTCAGATTTTCAAAAAAAATATATCAAATGATAGGTAAAGACATCAAGCATCTATAAAAAAAAATTATATTGGTATGTTCATTTTTAAAAAAGTTACGGCAGTTTTTAGTAAAAAAAATTGAAAAAATTTCGAAAATTAGCGATTTTTAAATTTGTAATTTTTTTGGAGGTTTCCCCCATTTACGGGGAACGAGGGAATTTTTTTCAATTTTTAAGGGTAATGTCTTCGACTAGATACGATTTGTGATCTTTTGACGTATCGTTGAAAGAAATCCGTTCGGTGAGAGCTGAGAAAGTGGTAAGACCAAAAAAAAAAAAAAAAACACATCATAGTAAAACCAATACCTTCTCAGTTTCGCATCGAAGCTAAAAAAATTATCAAATTGAATGGTAATTAATTAGATTTTTGTTTATGAAAATAAATTAACAAGTTCCATAAACTGCTAATTAAATCAATTATGTATGCAATTAGATTTTTATCAAATGTTTGAATTAAAAGATTAAACAAAACATTGTGCTTTATGAACACGCTTATCTAAAATAAACGATTTCATTAACTATTAATTGTATTTATGTAATTAAAAATAAGTATACACAGTGATCAATAGTTCACTGATAAAAATATATACAAATAATAATTATAATAACAAAATGAAAGTTGACAGTTTATTTAGAAGTCTTTTGTGCTATTGCTGTTTTCTTTTAAGGATTCAGTTTTTTCCGTGTGCTTTCTGTTTGTGTATTACGAGTGCAGATTTTTTCTTATAAGATTTGTTACATACATTACAAGTATAATTCTTTTCATCACTATGTACAGTTAATGAATGTTCTATCATAGTCTTTTTAGTTATAAACGCTTTATTACACACAGGACAACAAAATTCTCGGACGCCTGAATGTCGTCTCATATGGTTCCGTAGCTGGTTGCCCGTACAAAACGTTTTGTGACATTCAGTACATTTAATATTTCTCTCTTTTTTGTGTACAAATTTAACGTGCACTTTCAGTTGAGATGAACGACCGAATCGCTTACCACACTCTTCACACACCAGCCGTTTTTCACCAGTGTGAATGAGCAAATGGCCTTTTAACGTGGTCCTATCGGCAAATCTTTTCTCACATTCGGCGCACTGGAAATCTTTACGACCTAAATGAACTACATCAACGTGATGTAACATAATCGCCCGAGTTCGGAACTGGCGCGGACATTGTTCACACTTAACATCAAAACCAGTGGTATGCAATCGGTAATGGTTCGCAAAACACGAGGGGTTGTTCTTTGACTGTGAGATATAAGAACAATGGTCACATTTGTAGTACACCACTCCATTATATTCTACCTTAAACTTATCGTAGATATTGCATTTTTTTCTTGTTTTTTTTCTTGGGGGTTGTTCAATATCACATTTAGCTGCATGTTGACTCAGACGACGTTTTGATCTATACAAATGACCACACTTCTCACATATTAGCNTTTTTTTTCTTGGGGGTTGTTCAATATCACATTTAGCTGCATGTTGACTCAGACGACGTTTTGATCTATACAAATGACCACACTTCTCACATATTAGCAATGGGGGTGTATTTACAGCTTTTACAGACCGGCAAGAGTAGGTGTGATCTATAATAGATGGCTGTATAGGTTGATTTTCAATCTCATCGGATGGGACGAGGTCACAAGGAATGGGGGAACTTGTGGCCATAGGTCGAGATCTGAAAAACATAACATTTTATTGTAACTCAACGAAAATATTAGCTAAATAATAGGAGTTTTTTGAAATGTATTAGAACTATCAGTTTAACTTCTCAATCATAAGCAGAATTCTGAGTCTCTTTTATAAAATTATGTATACTAAAAGTACATGTATATCTATAAGATCAAATGAGAATATTTATATTTATCTTGCTCTAATAATTATTTATCATCAATATCTGATTTTTATCATTCATGATTTTGACACACCTAAGATAAGCATTTTCTTTTCCTTCATCATCACTTATTGTAATAACAGGAATACTATTTGCACCAAAATTTTGTTTTCGTTCCATCAAAGGAATAGACCAATATTTTTCAATATGTAAAGTGTTTTGAGTTAGTGTCTGAAGTGAGTGATATTTAGATGGCGGAAAGTTTACAATTTCATCTTGCCCAATTAAAATATTTTTTTGTGTTTCTGTATACCTGTAAAAATTTACAATAAAAACACATTGTATTTTTGCCACAACAAAATTTATTTTTTTGATATTTTAAATGAATGTTATTACTTTTTACACTTTTTCAGTATACATTATTTTTATCATACTGAATTTAAAATAGAATACAAATTTATCAATTATAGCTGACACAGTAAATTAACAATTTTAACGTATTGAAGGAAGTTTTTTTTGTAAACTAAGAATTTTTTGAGTAAAATTTTTTTGTAAACATTAATCAATATAGAATTTTATTCTATGATTAAATATTGATTGATTAATAAATTATGTTTCACTCACTATCTTCAGAAGTATAATATAAAATTTTGTAATTTTATTTTCAGAAGTCTATAGTATGTTGTACGAAAGTCAATTTAAGATATTGGTTTGAATTTAGAATTATTTTAAAGCACCTGTGTTTAAATTTATTATAAAATTTAACAAACTGGTGTTTGAGAGTCAAATATTATAACCAAAACAATAAGTCTGTTATAAACTATAAATACTAAAATATTCTAACAATTAATAATTTATGTATCAAATTATATCAATAAGCAAATTAATAATTAATAAATATTTCAATATATATATATAGTAGAATATTAATCTACTATTCATATTAAAATGGATAAAAAAAAACCAGCACAGGGGGGTCGCGGCACAGTGGTGACGTGGCATAGTTGGATCAAGTATAATGATATCTGACAGTGATTAAAATCACTATAAAAAAAAACGCTTCGATGCAAATCTTTAGATAGTGTTTAATTTTAAAAAATTGGTGGATTAATCCAAAAGCTACATGATCTGCTTGTTCCTTATTAATATCCTGATTAAGATAAAGTATGTCGAATGAAAAAGGGATTATTAAAAAATATTATTTCTCATAAAAAAATTATGTTGATCCATACACTTTCAATAAGTTATAGCATTATAAAGTTAAAAACATAAAAAATAATTTTTTTACAAAAATTGTATTTTTTTTATTAACTTTGATGTCTGTTTTTACCATGAAGATAAAATAAAGTCCAAAATTTTTTTTTACCATAATTAAGTATATTACATTATTTTTAATTTAAGATATATATAAAAGTGTCAGACTTTCTGGAACACTTTCAAAAGTTAAGTTGAAAAAGTTCTACTTTCTATATGCATTTTTTATATTTAAAGTCCCCCCGTATATAGGGAAATGATCTGATTTAAAAAAAAAGTATGTCGAATGAAAGATGTATATAAATACTACTTCTCATGAAAAAATTGTATTGATCCATACATTTTTCAAAAAGTTATAGCATAATAAAGTTAAAAATGTAAAATATAAAATCGAGAAATTCCACACAAAAATAGCATTTGTTAGCCATTTTCACCATGAAGACATGTCCAGAGGTCAAATTTTTTTTTTTTAATAATTAAGTACATTACATTAGCTTTAATTTAAGATATATATAAGTGTCAGACCTTCCGGAACATTTTCAAAAGTTAAGTTGAAAAAGTTAATTTTTTGTGAAAAAGTTGTCATTTTAAATCCCCCCCTGTGGGCAGGTTAAGTGTTAGATTTACAAAAATTATATGCCAAATGATAGGTAAAGACATCAAGCATCTATAAAAAAAAAAATTGTATTGATATGTTTATTTTTGAAAAAGTTACGGCAGTTTTTAGTAAAAAATTTCGAAAATTAGCGATTTTTAAATTTGTAATTTTGTTGGAGGTTTCCCCCATTTACGGGGAACGAGGGAAATTTTTTCAATTTTGGAGGGTAATGTCTTCGACTAGATACGATNCAATTTTTGAGGGTAATGTCTTCGACTAGATACGATTTGTGATCTTTTGAATTATCGTTGAAAGAAATCCATTTTGTGAGAGCTGAGAAAAAGTGGTAACAGACACAAAAAAAAATAAATAAATATACACATCTTAGTAAAACCATTTTTTTGCATCGAAGCTAAAAAATTATATAAATGCAGTATTTGCAAAGGTTTATTAAAATATTTAATTCATGTCAGCATCAAAAATTCTTTGATGGGTTTATCTATTGTAAATGATCTTAGATGTGTGCTGAACATCTTAATCACAAAAATTTTAATGAAATTTTACAATCTTATTTATTTATAGAATCATATACTCTTTAAATAATAATAAATAATTATTTTGAGCGCATTACCTTTTTGTATTTGATGACCATTTTTTAAACAAAATATCTTTTTTTGTAACCTATTAACATTTAATAAAGTAAGTTTAGTAAGTAATAACAAGTATTTTGAATTTAATGCACTAATATTATTTTTCATCTAATTAAAAACTCTTGTTTAATTACAGGGTATTTAGAGCATATATTATATAAAAGAATTAATATTTAAGCATATTACACTCACATATCTGATGATAAACAAGAGAATATAACTCATAATATTTACTTTAGGAATTAATCTTTGTTGAATAGTTTGATTTGAAGAATTAATAATGGAACTATCATTCATTTTGTTTGAATATGATATTAACTCATTTCTTTGGAGCTTTTCATTTTCTTTAGAATCCTTAAAGATAAAAGTATTAACAGATATTTTTTACAATAAAGCTAAATAAAAAAACGCACTTTTGTTTTGTTAGTTTTATTGGTTACTAAATATTTAAATAGTATATTAGTATTAGAGCTGGTTTTCCATAGTTCACCAAATACAATTAATGTTGATGCACATTCAAAGCAAATACTATCTGGTAACATATCATTTTTTGTCAGCTAAAAAAAATTGGATGACTATATATTATACAATTTTTAATCATTTAAGTTGTACTGAAATAATTTATTATGTACTTACAGTAATAAATGGTAAAAATGAATGAATTTTTGTTTCTAAATTATATTGTATACCTTCTTTAGTATAAATATGTATCATTTGTTCATTCTTAGTAGCACAGAGTCTACAAATTTCCCCAAAATTTTCAATTGATATTATCATTGTAATGGATTTTTGTTACTAATTTTACATCGAATTAAATTTAAAACATAATTAAATATTTTCATAAAATTCTAAATGTTCTATTACAGAAGTTAAAGAAATTATAGAAGTTTACATCAAATTATTAATTATTTATATAACTATAGTAGTTGTAGAAATATTTACTTTAGATATTTCAATTGTATCACAAATAAGATAAAACCAGATGGTGCACTTTCTATTCAAAACATGTAATTCTCAAAAAATGTAAGCAAATCACAACCTGCCTTAGATCAGTATCACCACACATCGGCAAAAAAATCTTTATGAGAAATTATTGTTTTTCAATTATGCATAACTGACTTTTATTGTTTGTCTTAACACCGACGTGAGCACATCAAAATGACCAAGATTTTCCAATTTCGATTCATCTTTACGATATTGATGTATGTATTGTTCATTTTTTTGCAGTTTGTTTTTAAATTATGAACAATATAAAATATTACAGTACAAAAACACTTTCTTTGTCAACAATAAGTTCACTCAAACTTACAACTTTAAAATTTGAAATTCTAATGGGTCATAATGATTTTTTTATATAATTTTCTTAATTTTACAACTAAGAATTATACCTCTGAAGCATTATACTGTAAATTTTGTTCAGATAAAATGCCTTTAAAAACTAACTTATATTGCTTAATTAAAAGATATAAAATAATGAGATACAACACCACATATACTACATAACTTATGAGCCTGCAAAGTATGCACTTATGTTATTGCTTAAAGGTTAAATGTAAATCGGAAGCAACCGATAGCGTATTTTTTTTAGTGCCTAATTCATATATTGGTTAGAAAAAACAAAAGATGTTTTTTTCCTTCTTTTCTTTTTTTTAATTTACTTGCGTGGCACTTTAACTATGCCGCATTATTAAGCTATATTGAGTTTAATATAAATTATTTACCGCGAAATATATAATATACTTGAATGACTATGAAGTATTAATGATGCTTACTTAAATATATCATTTTTTTTCACTAAAAAAATTAACAATTGCATTAATGAAAAAGCACAGAAAAATATTTTTAAAATGTGTCTAGGAAATACTTTTTATTGAAGTATAAATATTATAAACATTATATATATTATTTAGCATTCAGTAGCATATTTTATAAAATCGAATTATTTAATCTGCGATAGAGTTAAAACTACTAATGTAGGTAGATTAAAGATAGGTCAAAAAGTTTACCAATAGATAATACATTAAAGCTAATAACATTTTAGATATTTTTTGAAATATGCATTGATTTTCATGTACACACTTATTATTTGATATAATAATTATAGTAAAAGGTGGTGTACAATAAATTCATTCCTTATATGTGGTGTCACTGTATTAAGGCATGTTGAATAATCAGTAAATCAAAAAGTGCACTATCTGGATTTATCTTAACTGTTATATTTTGAAATTATTCATATTTTGCTTGATATTTTTATTGTTAAAGCTTATCTTGCTTCTAAAATCTACAATCAATGTTTGATAAAAACAGAAAGGATGGAGCCTTTTTTCTATGAACCAAGGTGATCTAAAACCTTATGAATAAAATATAATTTGATGAAATGATAACATTCAAAATTACTGTCCTCTGTTATCAATAATCGTAAATCGTGGAGTGGGTTTTACAGATTTTGATCAAATTCAATTGCAATAATTTGAAATTACTGAATTATTTTACTAGTTGCATACATGAAATGTAAATATTTAAATGAATTAGAAAAATTGTTAGTTTTGTAATTAATATGGCTAATGAGACATCTGAACCGAACTGGTATGTGAAATCTGATTATACTTTTTACTTGTGTTATGTAATATAGCATTCAAATAAAATCACAATTTGTTATTATATATACAAGACCATTAAAATTGTTTTTTAAGGTGCAGTAGGTCATATATAAATTATGAAAAACGAAAGAAGAAATGTATGCTTGAAAACTGTGATGATGAACACCCCTTAAAATCCTTATCCTTGTCTTTTGTAAGTCTACATATTATGATTAAATTTTTTAATAAATCATAGGCGTGGAATTCTAAACTTGAAGTTTCATTCATTATTTTATTTTTCCCTACAAAGTTTTAAAAGAATGGTGAAATTTGCTTGAGAGTGCTAAATATTCAAAAACCTCTTTTTTGCACCTATGATAACAATTAAGTTAACTAATTATCATTTTTGTATTTAAAGAAATATTCCGTTAGTTGAATATTGAATTTTTTAGTTAAATATTGTTTATTTTTTTAAATACACATAATATGTAACTAATTTATAATTTATAACATTAATACATCAATAAAAGACTTCTGTATTAAAATTTTAATTTAAACTTATATTAAAAACATGTTAGAATAATTTAGGGTTTTTGTTCAATAGTTGAAAACATTACTTTTCAATTTTTTTATTATTTACTGGTGCCACTATAGAAACTTTTTTTAAAGTAAAATTTTTAGTTTCATGAAAAACATTATTTTATGTCTCAGATAAATATTTTTAAAAGACTAATACTAATAAAATACTAATACTAATAAATACTAATAAAATACTAATAAAAAGTAATATTCAATAAAGTATAACCTTAATATTTTGTTTATAAATTATAATCTGGATAATATTTATTTATCAAAAATAAGAATTCAATTTAAAGGGATATAGGATTAATATTCCTTAATTAACATTCACAATTTTTTTTTCTGCCTTCTCAAAAAAACTTCAAAAATTAATAAATATTTAGAGTTTGCAAAACAATTAAATTTTTATTTTTTCAACATTCTAGAATAAGAAAATCATATAAAGTAAGATGAACTAAGTGAAGCCTTCTTTTCCTACTATATTTTATGTCATGAAAAAAAAAAGAATGCTTTAGATATAAACCTTGTTATTAAGTTTATATCATTAATGAATTTTTACTCATATTTTTTAAAGAAAAAAAGTAGTGAAATATCTATTATTGATCCACTTGGAGCATTTATTGTAAATGGAAATGATCCTCTTAGTCGACCCGTTCAATTAATTCCTACAGACTTTGAAGAACCATGTAATATTATTTCTGATAACTGTCAGTCTTGGTCACAATGCAAACAAAGTATATTAAATAATTATACGACATCTGAAAAATTGACTTTTAAATCTTGTAAGATTTTACATTTATGTTATAAATAGGTTCTTTAAAACCAAATAAGAATTTTTTTATATAGACTCAAAAACTATTCAAAGTGCTACCATTAGATCAAGACTTGAAGAACTAGATGAATTTGATGATCAGTCAGATTATTCTGAAAAAGAATTATGTGATTTAACTCAACAAGAATTTGTTGCTCATATGGATAATTTAAGTAAAGAGATAGTAGATGCATGGAACAATGAGCAAAGAGTGAAAGCTTTGAAAATAATTATACAAGTATACTACAATATTTTTATTTACCAAATGATATGCAAGATGCAGAAAATATTTACATTTAGGGAACTAACAGTTTTATTAAATGTATTCTATTCTACCAGGTGTTTAATTTAATTTTCTTAGGTTAACTTATAAAATCATTTCGGAAGTTGAAGGAAAGCACATCTGAGAAATGCTAAGTGATAATATAACTAGGTATCTCTTAATTGCATCTCTTCTATAGATTTTATATTATATTGTTAAAAAAAATCAAATTACTGGTACAAAACATTTTTTTCTTATTCAAATCATTTTTTAATTGTCAAGTTAGTAAGAAAGTATGTCATTATTTATAAACTTGATTGAATTATTTTTTAAGAAATTTAATGGGTAATAGAACTCACTTTTTCTTTTTATTTATAATATAGTACATAAAAAATGTAAAATTATTGAAAAAAAAAATTTTTTTTAATTATTCTTTTGAGATAGATTGTGAAGTTTAGTTAATTCAAGTTTACCTGAATTGTATATAGACTACATTTTATTTTTTAAACTTATTGGTTAATTGATTTAAATCAATAATATTGTATTAATAACCAATATTTCATAAACATTTTTTAATTTTTGCTCTGTATTTATCATCTACCAATTCTTATAAATTTCATGCTTAATATTTTTAGCTTTATATATTTTTTTTAGTGCACCAAAATTTTAAGTTACACATCGCCACTTCAATTTTATCCAAGTAAATTTGTACTTGTAACAGATTTGTTAGATTTATTTGGAGATCTAGTTTATAAAAGGCTCAAATCTAAATCTGAAATTATTGAGTAAATATTCAAATAAATTAGTTTGTAAATATTTTATTTTTAAATAATACTTGTTATATATTGTATTTATAATATATATACATATTATTTTAGTATTTTAAATATTTTATTACAATAAAATTTGTTAGTTTAATTATATATCTTTTTAGTGGTCAAGTAGTACATCTTCCGAATAATTTTACACCAGATATGGTACCAATATCAGCAAAAGAGACTTGTCGTAATTGGTTTTTTAAAATTGCTTCTATTCGAGAGCTTATTCCACGGTTATATATAGAAGCTGCAATTTTACAAAGCTATCAATTCATTAAAACTGAGTAAGCTTTATTTTGATTTGATAATTTTTTTACTTCAATATTAATAGGTAACTTAATTTAAAAATAATTGTACATAATTTTTTTTAATTAAGTGAACAAGAAACTGCTTTAATGAGACTCATTAAAATGGTTAGAGGTATTGGTCATCCGTTAGTTGCTTGGTATGCTCGTTGTTATTTATGTAGAGTTGGTTCTTTAATAAAAGTCAATATAAATTATTTTGAAGAAAGTATAAAAGATATTTTATTAACTTATAAACAGGTGAAGTTAAACTTTTCAATAAATAATACACAATTATTTATTAATAGTTCTTTATAGATAAATAGCCGATATTTATGTAATGAAATTCAGTGTCGGAATATGACTATGGATAAATTTCTTCAACTCTTATGTCCTGCATTGGAATGGATAATAAAAGGATTGTGTACATGTGTTGATACAGTTAAACTTGACGAGATTTTAAAATGGTGTATATTACAAAATTTCAAGTAAATTTATATAAATTATTTCTTTATATAAGATGTGTTAAAAAATCATTGTTTATTTAGTGGACTTCTCATTAATTCTATAGTGAATACATTTCCAGGATACTATATTGCCCAAAAAGCAGAATATATAGTCAATTTAATTTCAAATTGGCAATATGATGGTAGTAATAATAATTGTACTTTTAGATTAATTTTTTTTAACAATTTTATAATTTATTTTTTATTAGTTTTTCCTCAGACTGTAATTGTTCAAAATCTCGGGATAAGCTTAAGAGGTCATAATGTACCTAATTCACAAAATGTTTTGAGAGAAGTTTGGAAATTAGTAACAAAAATTAAAGATACTGAAAAATATATGGCATGTGCTGAGGCTTGGATATATTTCATTGTTAAACATTTCAAGGTACAATATGTTGATTATTTATATTATTAAAATGTATTACCCATTTCCAGATTGTTAATTTTAATTAATGTATTTGAATTTATAATAAGTTCAAAGAAATAAATATAATCATAAGTGATATTACAAGACATCTCAGTAATCGTGTAGGCATTGAAAGGTTTCACACCCAACTTCACAATATTTTACAACATTTACTTAATTATGTAGAAGACTTTGAAAATATTTTTCTTATGGTAACATTTAAAATTATTATGCAGTGTCAGAATTTCTAAAAAAAAAATTTACTTACAGAATAATTTATTACCGTATTTGGATATGTTTGGATCAGATATAAATAAATCGACTTGTTGCAAAACTATCTTAGAAGCATATCGTACTCGAGGAGAAAATGTTATGTCTCACGATCCTGTTATTAATGACTGCTTAATGTACATGTGCAAAATTTTGCATGATTCTGTGGAGTAAGAAAATATACTTTGTTTACAAAGAAATATATATTTTTATAAGTCATTCACTTTTATTAGCTCTTTGATGGTAGAAGATGAAGTACGACAAATCAGTCGTATCATAGCATGTTTTATTTTTCGTGTTGATTACAATGATGATTTAGACAAACACTTGAATTTTTATATGGAGGCCAGAGGAGCATTTATTAGATTAGATTATGTCCAAGCTGCTCTTGTGCAGGTATTATAATTTTTTATCTAACAATATTTTTATTTTAACTAAAAATATTTTATTAAAGTGTGTTAACAAATTAATGGTGAAATCTGTGTCTACATCAAGAAAATTAGTTAAAAATTCATTTGCAAGGGCTTGTTCAGCATATTGTTATATTACTATACCTTCTATTACATCACCATTAACTAAGCTTCAACTTTACTTACTCACAGGTCAAACTTCCTTACTCAATGGATGTCTTGGGCAAGGTATTATTATTAATCGATTTATTTTTTATTTAAAATATAATTTCTTAATAAAATAGTGCTATATTTTTAGCTGATGCTTGCTTTAAAGCCGCATCTGTTACTATCAAAGATTTCCCTGTTGCTTTAGAAATTGATGGCCATACAATTGAGACTGAATTTTTATTGATAACTTATATTCAGAATTTTTTATCTATTTTATTAATAGTACCGGTGAGAAATAAAAACTTATTTAAATAATTCATTTATCTTATATATGCATATTTTTTATCAGGACTGCCCTGATCAAGAAGTCTTACACCAAGTCAGAACCTTGATTAATTCAATAAGGCAATATTCTTGGACAGATATTTTACAACCTTATTCTTTATACTTACATGTACTTGATATGCTATCAATAGCTACATTAGATACATATCCATATAAAATAGCTGAAGGTAAATAAAATAGTAATTAGCTAAGTTAATTAATTTTACTATTAATAACTATTTTTCATTTAATTTAATTAAAGTGGATTCAAATGATGTATTATATGGAAGGGAACCACAGTTTGTTGTTGGTGTAGATTCTATGTGTACTGTGTTACTTAATACTATACTAGAGAAATTAAATGAATTAGCAGTCAACCCTAATTTACAAGTATTAAAGTTAATTTAAAAAAATTTTAAATTTTTCTAAATGTATTTCTATATTATTCTAGTCAAAATTAGGATTTGAACTCTTCATGCGTATAATGATCAGGGCAGATTTAAACAATGTAAAAATGACTACATTAGCTATAAACCTATGGAAACTTTCAAAAAAACAAAATACAGTAGATATTAAAACACATGTAAACTATTTATATAAGTTAAATAAAATATGTATCAATTCTAATTTAAAATTTGATTTTTCAGGATAACATGATTTCTTATTTATGTGATTTTTGTAATAATGAAGAAGAAGAAATTTACCATAAAGTTGCCAAAAAAATAGCAAAATAATTTAAAGAATAATAATCATAATAATAATAATTGTTATTTTAATTCATATATTATTGTTAATTACAAAATGTATTTATTTTATTATATTTTATAAATTGTTACATCTTTATAAAATACAGAATTTAATATTAACTAATAAATTTATAACATCACAGTAATGTACTTAACCTATAGTATTATGGTCATTCAACTAATAAATATTCATCACATGAATTTTTATCTAAACATTGATATAATTAATATGATATTTAGAGGTAAATTAAAAAAATGTTTGATATATTTATATATATATATATATTTTTTTTAATGGTTTAAATTATACACTTAATTAATAAAAATTACTGAAGTTGGTAATCCTATTAATTGAATCACCATAATATACATATAATATTAATTTAAAACCTGGAACAACAACATATCTAAAAATATACTTTACTATGACAACAAGAGTAGTAAAATAAAAGGAAATTAAAGATCTAATATCAGTCTTATTAGCTTGTCATCAACAATATTTTCCTTAGTTAATATTAAGGTCGTAATTATTCTTTTTAACATATAATTTTATCATATCAACAAAGTTTTTATCAAGACTCCATGTATTTAAGCAACCTAAGTATTGAAGCTTAGAACATTTATCAATGAATTTATAAACAGTCTTTTGAGAAATCTGTAAAAAAATTTTAAAAAATATTACTATTAAGATTATGTATTGATTTAAATGAGTGCTTAAACTGGCGACTATCAATATGCAGTTTCTAATTTTCTTGGACTATTCAATTGGACAGTGTGCAAGTAAAATATCACTAATTTTTCAGAAGTACATATAAAACTATTTTTTAACATTAATTATATGATTTATTCCTTTAATAAACATAATTTTAAGAACGAATAAGAAAATAAAAATACAAATTTTTTGATCATGATTGACAAAAATCTATAACAATATACGAAAAAATAAAGCTAAAAAGAACTTGTAATCATTTATTCAAGCACTGTCAAATCTTTGTATAAAATAAAATTTTTTTTCACTATTATCAAATTTCTTTAACTAAAGCAGCAATTTAACATAGAAGTAAAATTTTTACAGCAATAATTGTAGAAAAAATACAAGTTTTATAAAAAAAACTTGTCATTAAAAATTTTAAAAATACCTTATTTTTATTACTAGGAATTTCTAAACCTCACTTTTCTTATCGCTCAAATATATAACACTTATATCTACAAAAGGGGATAAAATTAAAAATACTCTCTAATTAATTAAATAAAATATACTTATAGATACTAAAAAAAAATTTAATCAATACTGTAAAATATAATGCGCAAGGCAAAGTTAAGCAATTACCCAGTACATAATAAAAACTATTGCTAGAAAGACTTACTATAGAGTGTTTGTCATTAAAGGAAATTTCAAGACGTTTGAGTTTGTTACACATAATAGCTGGTGGTTTTTCAAATACTTGAGAATTCCAATATAAATGCCTTGAATCACTAAACAACTAAATTAAAATTTTTAATTATAATAACTTAATTCATAATTGAAACTAAGATGGTAAAGATTTTACCTTAGCTTCTTCTAAACAAGGACAGTTTTCAAAGAACCAATTTATTGTTTCTACAGTAGGCATATGCAATTCAAATGACTTAAGCTTAATGAATTTTCCTACAGGAGTTTCAAAAGTATGTAAATATCCTTTAAGAAATAATAAATTAGGACAACTGCTTAATACTTTAGCTACATCAATATCTGCTTCCTAAAGTATAATTAATAAACTTTTAATACTAAGATAAAAAGAAAATGATTTAAAAATACCTGATCTAGAATAGTTAGCTCAGATAAATTACAGCCATAATTATAAATAAAGTTAATAAAATGAAAATTCATCATATAATCGAGATCAATTGTAAGTGTTTGAACACGTCCCCAAAACATTGACCCTTGTTCGGGGTCAGCAAAATCCTGAGGAGAACAAACACAAGATAAACGGGTGTACAACTTTTTTAAATAAGGTAGACACTCTTTTAAAACTGCTATTTTTTTTCCAGTCAACTGCATGTCATATAACTCAGTTAATTGAAACTCTCTAACTTTAGGAGAATTTTCCCACAAAGTCACTATAGCATCACCAATATTTCTGAAAATACTAGTCTGTAAGAAATTTATTTAGTTATGGATGTCAAAAACATGTTAATCATATACCTAAAGTAAAGAAAACCTCCTAAAGCTCTTAAGCTTTTTACACAAGCTAGAATCATTAATAAACTAGCATCTTCAGTGTTTGTGTCTTGAATACGCAATTCTTCTAAAGTAAAACAACATTTATTAAGTGCTCTTTTATTTTCATACAATTTTCCCAGTTGTTGACAAAGTTTATCATTGGACACATTATTAGTTTCAACCGAGACATCTTTCTAAAGGTAAAATTAAGTTAATTTATACAAATATTCAAACTAAATTAATGTTTGATACATACTTTGAACAATAAATGCTTGATTCCTATTTCATCTACATTCCATGATCCTGAAATATCTAGGTGTTTGAGACAGATTGCATTTTCACCAATAGTTTGTAAAATAGCATTATCACAAATGGCACCAAGTTTCAAAAAAACTAGTTTAGAAGCAAGGCCATCTTTTAATGAATTTTGTAATTTAAACATAGAGTTGTAGACTATAGGTGTATAATCATTTTTGCTTGACATCTAAAAACATAACAAGTATCAAAAAATTACGATTTTATGTTTATTATACATTAATTATTACTTGAAAAGTTAATGACAATTCTTTAAGATGAGTGTTACATCTATTCAAAATCAAAACAAAGTCATGAAATTCTGCTTCCATACCACTATAAAAATACAATGACGGTAATCGTGTAACTCCAACATCCAACATTGCATTAAGAATGATCAACCAACGATTAAATTGAGCATTCATTATTTTTAAAATTGGATTTGTATCAATTACTCCATTGAGCTCATTCCAAATATGCTTATCTGCCTCCCCTTTATCTCTAAAAATTGTTTTAACCATAATTTCACACATTATAGTATATTAACTAAAAATATCATTTTTTACAATTTTTCTTTAGTGCAGCTTATGATGTTTGTTCTTGCCCAAGCATGTGTACTTCTAATAAAATATTCACGTGAACCAATCGAATCTTTTTTCATTTCCAAAGCAACATCTAATACATAATTGCATACTTTTTGTAATGCCAAAAACTGTAAACAGCTTACAGAATTTTTTAAAGGCATATTTTTTTTAAATCTAAAAATAATAAAATTATTATATATAAAGACAATATAAGAAGATAAAAAATAAATATTATTAAAAATTATTATCAGTAATAGTTTATAAAATATTAGTTTAACTTCATTACATTATTTTAAATTGTATATAAAAAAGATTATTCTGATTGGGTTTAATTAACAGAGAAAAATCTTGAAAATTAAATTATAAAAATGATAGATAAATTTTTTTTTAATATAAAATAAATATATATCCTTGCATATGCTTGTAATTTATGAATATTTTGATTTATTTTACTAAAAAAAAAAAAAATAAGACACTTTTGAAATGTTTCTAAATTTAATAAAATAACTAAATATAACTACATAAAATGAGTGAAAATTTTTATTTCATATGAGATATTATGTTGAATAAATAGATAAATTTAAAAATCCCTCCAAAATAAAAATATTAAAATTTACACCTCTCTAATATAAATATAAACATACTATATTGTAATAAGAAAATGGATAAAATGTATAAATATAAATATTTAGTTATTATCACAGTTGTATGGAATAATTAAAAAAAGTCAAAGATCGAAACAAAATTACTAGGTTAAAATTCAGAAGGCAGTATTGATTAATATAAAGTTACTATAAATTTAGTACTCACAAATAAGTTAATTGAATTTAAAAATTTAAATATGTAGAAATCATAAAATACATTTCAATACTTAAATTATGTAATAATTGTTTGACATAGATTTATAAAGCTATGTTATTAAAATTAAAATAGTTTTTAATAATAATAATAAATTATAATTTATATTGTATCAGTTTAATGCAACTAGCTTTTATTAACCTGTTAACCATTTAATGGTAATCAAATAATAATGAAAATTTCCTCGAAAGTCATTATTTAAAAATATTCCAAAAATTTATTAAAATACTTACGAGAAAATACAGTTAAGAATAATAATTTAAGTAATTTCAAAAAATATATTAATTATTATAATTAATATAATAAAATATATTTGGAGATATATTATTTGTATATAACAATAAAAATAATACACATATTGGTGTTTACAATGACTATCGACTGGTTGGGTTGGGTACGACAGATACTACTTGTTATAGTGATAACAACTATAATAATTATCACTTATGATTGATTAAATTTCGGTACAAATAGTAGATTTTTAAATAGATTGATGGTATCATCAAAATTATACAAAAAAAAAATAAAGACGATATTCGGAAAATTTCATAGTGCTCTAAGTTTAAATTTTTTTTATTCTGCAGTATTAATGTCTTGTAACTCTAAAATAGTCATTGACAATGATAAAAGAGCTTTTACTGTTCTTTCCCTATAAATTTTTAATAGCTTCAAGCGTTGTAATTTGATCAAATATTAACAAAAAATATAAATAAAACTATACAAAATATTAAATAAGTTCTTTTTACTTATTTTTTTTTAAATGATTTGTTCATTTCTCTCTCACACGAGATATAAATATATTAGGTTCCATTACAAAACCTTCAAAACGAATTTTTAGCCTCAAGTAATTTTTTAATTGACAATTTTCTTTACTTGTTGTCTACAAAAAAGATCTTAAATAAACAAAATGACTACTCCAAAAAATAGGGGGGTCTGTTTAAAAAATACAACAAATATAATTGTTTATAATTTTGAATAATATTTATTACACATAATTATAACATGTATATATTACTTTTATACATTACTTATATTACTTCTTTTCAATAGTAATTGTCAAATAATTTTTGTATTTTATATTAGCTTCGATACGAAGCTGAGAAGGTATTGGTTTTACTATGTGTTTTAGAAGATAGGTCGTCGGGACAAATTTTTTTTTTCATTTTGTAGTACATAAAATAAGCTTTAATTTTATATATGTTTAAAGGACGCAGTATTTCCGGAACATTTTCAAAAATTAAGTTGAAAAAGTTATTTTTTGTAAAAAAGTTACTATTTTAAATCCTCCCAGTGAGCAGAATAAGTGTTAGATTTTCAAAAAAAATTATATCAAATGAAAGGGAAATATCTAAGGTTTCA